AGGGCTGCCGGCACTGCGGAGGGGTTCTGGTGTTGGAGCATCCCGGCCATGGCACCGCCGAGGATGCACCGCAGCCATCGGCTCAGCTCACGGCGTGCAGCCGTCACGGTGAGCGTCCTGCCGTGGCAGATGAGCCCAACGGCGGGGACCCCCAGCGATGGGCAATGGCCCTTTGCAGCGTCGTCCCTGCGTGCCGTGGGGTGCTGCACAGATGGGCTTCAGCTCCGGGGGAGTTTGGAGGCAGCAAACTGCCTGCAACGCTGCCTGCCCCACCGGCACGCACAGCCTTCGTGTAACGCTGGGGAAAACTCCCGCAAGAAGAGCTCCACGTGTCTCCCCAGCTGCTCATGGACATGCTTGGACAGTTGGGAAGGTCTGGGGAGGGTGTTTGGGTGGGGGGCAGCATTTTGGTGGGGGCACCCCTGGGTGGACAGAAGGGCTGCAGGCTCTCCCAGCACCGAATTGGAGCCCTTACACCCCCCCCAGCCCCATACGAGGATGGAGCCCATCATCACCCCCAGAACTTTTTTTCCACGCGAGGAAACTGGGGTCCTGGAAAACACCAGTGAATTTTTAAAAAAAACCAATAATCAAAATGACGTAACTCTAAAGAAAAAGGAAGGAAGGCGGGAGGAAGGGGAGGGGAGCAGCCGGGGCAGGGAACTGTGACAGCAGAGAAGCGCTGGCGGTGTGCAGGAATTAATGAAGACGCGGTGCCCGTCTCCCACCCTACCGTTCGGCACAGTTGTCCTGGCAACGGAAGACTGTCATCTTCTTGTAGTCAAAGAAGGACACGCCGCGCAGCGTTCGCCGGCGAGTGTTGTCCACGTAGCAGCCGATGTATCTTGCTGGGGGGGAGGGGGGAGGAGAGGGGGGTAAGAACCAGCCAGGGCTGAGCCCACCGATTCCCACCCCCCTTTTTTGATTTTTCCCTGTTCGTTTGCTTTAGAAACACACGCCCTGGGTACAACGTGCCCCTGCAAACGCTGCAGGTAAAGCCCAGAAACACCCACTACGGACAGAAAGGATGCTGTGGCTCTGCACCGAGGCATCTCCTCTCCGTCCTCTTCCTTCCCACCAGCCTCAAAACTGAGCAAAGTGGCTCCGAAAAGAGACGAGTTACATGGTAAAACAACCCATCCCCTTCATTCTGCCCTGCCAGGAACACAGGGGTGGCCAGAATGGAGAAATACAGTTTAAAACAAATGTTCCTCAGCCAGTAGCTCGTTTTCCCCAGCCCCAGACATCGAGGAGGATATTTGCCCGGCGCTAATACTTGGCAACGTAAAGGCTGATGCCTGTGTTGAGAGCAAATGAAGATGCCGATAGACAGGGAATAAAGCTGAATAAATAGTTACCATGAAATCATTTATTTGACAAATGTAGCCTTTCCCAATAATCTGAAAACAAACAGCCATCTCCTCGCCTGCGTGGCCGTTGCCATGCCCGCAGGGTCTCATCAGGGGCGAGACGCTCCATGAGCCACCCCCAGGCAGCCCTGCACCATCACCGCCCACCCTGTCCCTGCTCAGTCTCCTCGTTAGGTGCCCTCGTTAGCGCCCTCGTTAGTGCCTCACCCCTGCTCCCACCTGCGCATTTGCTGCGGGGAAGACGTTTTGCCCCCGGCGCAGGGATGCGGCGCTGGTGCAGGGATGCTCAGCATCCTCGCTGCCACTGCTGCCAAGGACAGGAGGTTTGGGAGCTGGTGGGATTAGCCATCCGGTAATCAGCTAACGAGGTGTCCATTAACGTGTTCTTGCAGAGGATGTGCGGGTTGGCCACCCAGTGTGGGTGCCCCAGGGACCAGTGGTCGGGTCTTACCGGCCCGGGGTCAATGGCAGAGCTGGCTTGGAATCCCAAACCGGTCTGGTTCACCTCGCTCCCTGTTTCAGGTACGCATCCTCGATGAATGGAACAGCGATCTTTTGCTTTTCATCATCCTGAAATAATATCCACCGCACTCTCAGGGCATCTTCTGCAGGATGCTGGCACAGGGCAACCCTGTCCTGGAGAAATCCTGGAGCCCGTGCGGTGGCCACTGGCCTCTGGCTTTGAGCTGCTGCTGCAGAGTCCCAGCGTGGGGACACAAGAGAGGCTCCTGTCCCTTCGGGGCCCCTGGATCCCAAGCCAAGGAATTGTTTTTCCCAGCACCAAACAGCTCTCAAGCTGTGCCCCCCCCCAAGGCTCTGGCCCCAGCACCCCGGCCGAGCAGCTTCGGGAAAGCACCGGGATATCCGGCAGCACAGGATGGGGCAGGAGCAGAGGTGAGGGCTCCCCTGCTCCGGTCAAGAGTGAAGCCGTGGCTCTGGGCAAGCAAGGCGCCTCTTCCAGTGCGTGATTACCACCTCGTGTCTCCCCTTCCACCTCCACGTCTCCACCCCACACCAAATTCTCCCTCTCATAGCAGAGCATCCCCACGTGTGCCACTCCCATACCAAACTATGGGGTAACACTTCTCACCTCCTGCTTGCATTTTGCATCTGTTGGGGGGGTCCCTGAACCAACTCCAGGTGTACACCCCATCGATGCTCTGCCCCACACGCAGACCCCCACCTTCCCCGCCACGCCGCAGACCCCACCAGCGCTGCAAACCGCCTCCCCCAAGCCAGCCTGGAGGAGAAAGATTGAGAGAAATGTGCCTGATGACTTTAACCACCGAAGAGTCGTAACTCATTGCTCCCAATTACTCTCAGCACAACGTGGCATTTCCGCGGCGCTGAGCAGGTTTCAGCAGGTCAGCTCATTTTGGTCGTGACAGATCTAACTGGTGCAGGATTACTCCAGTCATTTGCACAGAGCCGGTGAGTGATGTGCATTACCTTCAATCCATTGCTCTTGACATATGCGTGCTGCAACTTATTGGGCAGGCAATTGGAATAATTAGGGAGATACGAGGACAATAAGTGAAGGAGGAGCGAGCAGGGAGAGATGCCGAAAGGCGCTTGGTGGGGTTAGGCACAGCTTGAGGGAGGGTGCTGAGCAGCGAGAGGGGGACCTGCCCCAGCAGCACACAGCTCTCACGGGGCCAAGGGGAATTTCGGAGCACGTTGGAAACACGCGCGTGAACAGACACACAGATCCACCCAGC